TGCCTATCCTCTTTCAGCAAAGAGAATTTCTTTCTTTGATTTTGTTATTGTCACAGCTTGTTGTCGATTGTTGACTATCGAGTAAAAGTAGACAACTAGTTTCGTTGCGCGTGGACGCTCTGCTTCCTCTCGAGAAGCAAAAATTACTTTAGAGAAATCGGGGGATTTTCTTTTACTTTTATTCTTATATCATCGGATTTCTTTCGTTTAACAAGACACGATTACCAGTATGATTCACGAGACATTTAAGGAATTAGCATAGAGGATCTGTCTCTAATAATATATTTTTCAATTCGTAATAATTATCTAACGACACGCTGCAGTTTAATACGTTATTATTCTATAAAAAAAAAGCGAACGATTTATTCATTTTATTCTCGTGGAAATCTTTATTTCACGCGCGATCGCGTATGCACACAATGCTCAATTGGCCGCATACGTTGAAGTTGCGGTGTAAAATTGAAATGTATATTTGAACGTTAATTTTATATATCGCATTTAAATCTGAAATGGGTTCTAAAATTCGCCAAATGAAAATCCTCGTCTACGAAAGTAATGTAAAGTTACGTTTATGTTGTAGGAGTTTGAACGAGCGATTGGATTGTACCGTGAACAATGACTATAGAAAATGAACGAATCGGTTTGCCACTATTTCTTGGCAGAACGATAAATCAGCAAATCATCGGAAGAGGTTTACTGGTTCAGACAGATAGCGAACGCATCCTCCATAAGCTATCTATCTACAAATTGAAATTTCGCAAAAAATTGAAATGTAATTAAATTTAACAATAAAACTTGAAGTATTGTATACATATATGTACACATACATACACGCTAAAAGACTCATAAGAGGGAAGAGAAAATTCTTTAATAAAAAAGAAACGTAAGTTCGGGTACATCTTTCGTCCCTTATCTTTTGTAATTTTTATTTAAACATTTTATTTTTATCGATTTGTTTGCCGTGCTTTTCGTAAATGGCTTTACAATAGTTCGATAAACGCAATTATTATCTCGAGTATCGCGGATATCAAGGAATAAATTTCTGCGGATCGCTATTCGCACGCGGTATTTTGCAGTGCCACTCGCAATAATCGCTCTACTATTATAACGTAATAACGCTCTGCGCCATTACTTTAATACGGTATCGCGTCGCGGCGGAGTTTTGCCACTCCGCAATTGCGCACGTAATGCCGCGATATTGAACGGCTACTTCCTGACTACTGCTTTTTCAGGGTGTTGCTAGCCATTCGAGAGGTACTTTGGCTGGACTTTGATTTTTAATGGTATCAGAGAGATCGATGTGTTCAAAATGACAAAAACGGTGTCTGTATGTATAAAAGATTTTTTCTATTTTTTTTGTCATTATAAAAACAACAGAGACCCTTCTTTTCGTAGATAAGAGTCGAGATCTGATGGAGAGAGATTTGAGAAAATGTGAAGTCAAAGTGCAATGGAGTGAAAAAATATCGAACGGACACTTGCGTGAATTTACAGAGATATTGGAATCGATGAACTATAGTATACTATAGCATCTCTCTCGGAGATTGGTAATACGTCGGTCTCCAATAATTACACGGAGGATATCGTATATCGACGATTCGATGTTAATGCTTTGATGGGAAACTGTCACATGCGAAACATAAATACGTATCGTTGCGGGAATTATTTTTCTTCGAAAGAGAGATATTTTTATATTATTTATATAGTGTATCTTTTTTCTGAAGCGTGTCTCTGTGATGGGAAATAAAATGGCGCGAAAATAACATTTTTATATGATAGTTTAAATGCAAAATAATCGAGAGTCCAGTGATCGTGAATCTCGTAAGAAATAATTTGATGACACGTGCTTGCTTTTATTGAGAAGAATCGCGCGAAAGAGCTAAACGAGAGCTAAACGTCAGGTGAAATGTCACGTCACGAGAGAGAATCTGCCGGACAGTTGAACTTTAAAAAGCGATCATGCCTGTTATATAATACGAATCTCGATCAAAAATCTGTAACACATCAGTGGTTTGCGCGATAATGATCCAATCCTTGTTAATGATAAAGTGCTACCACAAACGTGACGATTTTCATATATCGCGCGAATACAATAGAAAGTGTGTGAACATTCTAATTTTATAGATCATCAAACATCACATTGTATTTATCGGAAATCCGTCATGCCGAATGCCGATATTATTTTAATTTCTATGAAAAGAAGTGTAGGTTTCGAAGTATAATTTATTAATAGCTGCAAATGCAGCATCATTTGCACGAACGATCGGACCTACAAATAATTTATTATCTTCGGATTTATTTACGGATAACCTTGTCGGTTAATCAATAAAAGCCGTAAAAGCATCTCTCTGCAGCGAGCGACTGTTTATTCCGCCTTTAAAAATTCTTGTTAACGAAATCTATATACATGCGTTATCGAAGCATATTTGATATAACTAAATAAATTCTAGATAAATCCTAACTGAATTCACACTTTTCGCAGTTGAAACTTAAATTGACTTTCGTCGCGACACAATCCGAAAGTTACTTTGTTTAATGAACTTGGGGCTTCGTCAATTGTGTGTCTATTCGAAATACACTTACTTGATACTCATCGACACTGGTCAACTCGCCTTTAACAATACGAGTTTCACAATACAATTCTCTAGATGGTCAATCTCTGAATTAATATTTCGTCACAATTGTCTGTATAAACTATTAACTACGCGAGTTTATAGTTCTGGTATGAAAGACAAGAACTGGAATGGATCTTACGCGTTTGGAAGGATCGTTAGAACATTTCTGCATCGTCTGTAAACGTCTATAGATGTTCTTAAAGTACGACATGTTTCGTCGTTACGCTTTATTATTCTTTTAAAATTTTTTTAAAGCGGAAGAACCGTGTTGCTTATATTAATCACGAATACGATAGAAGCGAAAATATACAGCAATTGAGACTGCTCGGAAAATGAAACAATATTTATAAATGAGGAAATCAATAATATTAACGTAGCTTTATAAAGAAGTAATGTATTAATTTAAAATAAGAGATTATTTAAAAAAATAACCTATTGATTTTACAATCCAAAACACATTTAAAATACATTATAGTATTCCATGTAATCATTAATATTAGTTTACTCAATATAAAGATAATTTAACTGATACATATATAATTCTCTTCTTCATTGATTTCTTTTCTCGTCACATTAATGATTGTCAACGTACAGAAGAGTATTAATGTATGGAGACGGAATAGCTTTTAATATTGAAGTCTCTCAGAGAGAAAGCTGATAATTCGATTTTAATCAGTTAAATCACGTGTCTAATACTCTATGTGTCGAATACTGTTATTAATATATGTATAATATTTATTATGTATGACCATTGACGAAAAGGTCTTTACGACAAATCCTTTTGCAAGATAGAAAGCAGTATTAAAAGTAAATCATACGCATAAAAATTTCATCTCGATGAACCAATACTTTCCCACGGATACGCGTTTTTCTTATTCCGATATCCGGATTACAGGGGGTTATCCGAGGTTAACCGATCGCGTTGAATTTCCGAGAATTCGACCTGGATTCTGCTTGTTTATCGTCGTCGTTTATTCTGAGCAACGTTGTAGAACAAAATATATCGCACATTGAAAAGCTCACCCGACATGAAGCGCTTGCGAGGCTTAATTAAACATTCGCGAGATAATTAAGCGACTTTACTGAAGAGTAATGGATAACATTATGAAGAATAGCCGAATCAATAAAGACATTCTTCTTTGATCGTTCTTTTCCTGAAGAAAATCAGCTCCGCTTTCGAACGACAATCGCGACGAAGAATCCATCTTAGTAGGCGAATTTCAATTATAAATTTAAACTTCTCAGATAATTCCGGATACAATGTTCGAGGGTTAGCAGCATTTTGCGGCACGTATAATTCATCGTCATCAGAAATTCCGCGCGTATATCCGCGCGCACGAAACAAGACAGGGCTGGGATGTATTACCGCCGCCGGATAACAAGAACTGATATATCCGAGGAAATATCGATCGGTTCTAATGGCGCATTAATATGCCATATTTGTCATGATTCTTAACGATCGGAGCCGTTAACAGCGCTAAGCGAACGCGCCTTGCTCCTTGACGCAGCATGACGCCTCGCCTCGAGTCGAAAGCGACAATCATCGGGCGTCACGTACGTACGGCAACGCTCTTTACTGGCAGCACCCGGTACGTAGATAGGGTGGACGCGTACATTGACTGTTTGTGCCACCGTTTACGAGCCAGCCACCTGTGTGCGGGGCTGCAAAACCGTTTATTCAATGCCACCGCGTGGTGGTGGCGAAACCCGGAGCCACCGTTCCGAGTCGACGCTGAAATTAATAATCCCGCGTGACGAACGTTTACGTCGAGGCAAATGTAAAGGGCAGCAAGATAATATTTATTGCATTGCGCAAAATTACACGTCGCTACCTTGGAATTGATTACACATACACATATACTCTCTCTTTCCCTCTCCTTCTCTCTTACATGTGGAGAGTGCAATTCGTGAAAATACTTGATCGTTGTGCATATACATGATTATAAATGTGTTACGTCACGTTTACGCGCGAAACTGTATCTATCACAGAATTCGTCATTTTAATCTGATATATATTCGCAAATCGATCACTATCACTTTTTAATAAAATTTGAATGTTTACGACGTTTGACGTTTTGTTCTATAGAAAGTTCGATACGATATTTTAGGTTCGATATTCGTTGTCAGTACTTTTTGATACTTGAGATAAAATGCATTGCGCAACGTCTGGAAAAAATAATATCGAGAGAAAAAATCTTAATTTATATATATATATATATATATATTTAAAACATATACATTTACTGGTCGCACATTAACTGGTGTTTTACAATAAAAATTTGAAACGATATAATTTTACGAATTTTGATGTTAATTAACGCACGAAAATAATATCTACGCGTAATGATTCATATGGATGGGAACACATAATAATTAAACGTCATCAAAATTTTACAATGTTTTTAGTTTCTATTTCACTATTACAGAATTTCGTCATTGTTGCAAATAATTTTCTTTTCACTTGTGAACACAGCCAGTCTTCTTTTGTTGTATAATTCGTACGTGGTATCTTTTTCATAATGCTATCCTATTTTGATGTGGTTAAACAAAAGCAAATAGTTTTTCAACGGTACGCTACCTTCCTCCTGTTTCCATGGGGGGAAGAGCAGGAAGGGAAGAAATTAATTCTGCTACACGTTCGCTCGCTTAGTTATCCAACTCCGTATGGTGGATATTCGCGTGTACACCCCAGGATATCCAGCACTCGCACATTGAGCGCCCCAGGACACGATCCCAATTTGGACACTGTTGTACACGAGCGGACCACCAGAATCTCCCTGCGATATAAATAAATAAAACTTTTTCACTTTTGTATAAGGAAGCTATTTCGAAAAAGTAGTGCGACAACAAAAAAATCGTTTCAATGCGGTATATGTATATATGTGACGAGGATATTGATCGTGTTGGTTTCAAGTATGTTGAAGTAATCTATCTAATGTTGGTAAAAATTATAAACAATATTAATATTGTTAAAAGAGAAATTACACGCATATAAATATATAATATATATGAAAATTTTTATACTAATAATATTTTATATTGTGTGTATGCATTATCGTAGAGAGCAATCTCTTTTGAAGGCTTCCTGGAAAGATATAAGAAGAGAATTTCATATATATTTTATGTGCACACAGATATATAGTAAGGGAAGGTAATAGAAAAAGATATGAAGTAAGATATAGAAAAGTAATATGGAGAAAAAAAAGATGCAAAAAGAATATCTATGATTAAAGGATTATAAATGTTTGGAAACAGACAATGAAATAAAAATATTGATTAAACACGAGACATATACCTGACAAGTGTCTTTTCCACCGGTAGTGAAACCTGCGCATAGCATGTTGGGTGTTACTATTCGCCAACGAGCATAAACCTTTCGGCAGGCTTCTTGATCAAAAATCGGAATCTTCAAGGTCTGCAGTACCTTGGAACTCTCGCCGTTTGCCTAAAATTCGCAACATTCCTGCATAATGTAGGCTATTGAAAGCTTATCGAACGTCCATCGGAAATTATGTCAACATTTGTCATGACGATCAATTGAACGACGTTAAACGATCAACGAATAAACCTTAATTTTCATACAGACAATCAATCTCGTCATATGTCATTACTGATGACACGAACAATCGGAAAAGACTTACCGACGTTTTTCCCCATCCCGAAACAACTGCATTGTTACCAGTTTTGATGACAATTGATGGTGTCGCCAAAGTAATAATTTTTGTGTTTCGATCCAAGGACAAAGGCTTGAGTAACTACAAATATTTTATTTTAAGAATATATGTATTGTGATGGTTAAGCCGTAATTGGCTACATACTTTGATCAAAGCCACATCGTAATCGTAATTATCCTCATCAAACGATTCATGCCAAATAATTGAGGAAATATCTGTGATCAGAATACCTCCATTATCGTGATAACTGCTGGCTACTCGGATTTTAAAGAGTGATACTTTTAAGCTAAAATAATAATAAACACGTTTAATGGATATAACAATTTTTATGATGTAGAACTATGTTATCTAATTTAAATTTTAGTTTCTTCTTTTTCTTTCTTTTGTTTCTCTGATTTTTCATATGTATGTATACATGTGTGTGTAAAAATATTATTTATTATCTATTCTATTAAAAACCAAAAAATTGACACGAACCCGTAAACGCAATGTGCTGCTGTTAGGATCCATTCTTTGCTAATTATTGAACCTCCGCATACGAGTTTATTATTGTAATGAAGAGAAACCTGCCCAAAATAATTTTCGTAAGAAAATAATAACATTTTACATGCAAAATAATTTTATTTGTTAGAAAATCTTGAGGAATATTTAAGCATCAATATTGTTGTAGCAAATTTACACAATTACTCGAGTATCGAGCCATATAATAATTACAATGAAACATTTCAATCGTGAACTGACCTGATATGGATATTTATCGATAGTTGTAGATGTGCCTCCGATTATTCTAGATTCTAAACACGAGGCGGAAACTATTAACGTCAGACAGAATATAATCAGCATGGCTACGGTTGTTACGGCGACTTAGTTACTAACATGTTTATACGAAAATCAGCTCACGGATTCACGGTTATTCGATGATAAGACAAATGACACTGTGATATCAAGATATGATATACGTTGATATTCTGAGAAATCATTCATAAGGTGCAATTTTTCAAGAGCCGTTTAATTATTGATATACTATCGGAAAGAATTGGAAATAGATAAATTATTTTTAGATATGAAATTAAATCGATAATATATTTTAAATGCATTTAAGATATTAACACTTATTTGTATGCTTTATTATTATATTTTTTATAATTTAAAAAGTTTTGCGCTCAACAGATCTCAAAGCATTCATTTAAAATTAGCTTTACGTTTTAATTTTAACTTTATATATCGATTTCAATCGTTCTTTTTATTTTTACATATCACGAAAATGCAATTTCATAGTGTAATATAGTGCAGTGGTTTAATTTTTTTTATTTTTATATTGCACGATATTCCTATGTAAAATGAAAATATGTTTATAACGATATATCAATAGGGATCGTATAAAAAAAAACATGAATTTCCAAACTCCACTTGCCTGAGGCTAATGCTTGAATGTCCCCACATAAGCTTGAAAGCTCGCTCTACAGTTTTAAAATCATATAGTAGCATATTCGTAATATTAACATGTATATAAAATGGGAAGATTACATAGATGTATATATTTCATATACAAGAATAGAGAGAGAGAGAGAGAGAGAGAGAGAGAGAAATAAAAATCTATTAAATTTATTGTTTATTATTGATTTACGAATTTAATAATGAGACACAGTGAGATGCAAAGATATTAGAGAAAATTCGAAACAACAACTGATTGTGAGTGAAATTTCTGAGCAATATAACGTTGTATGCAATTAGTAACTTAATTATTTGGTGATCGCGTCCCCAGTTGTGTTCAATCGCGAAACAACAATCTCACTTATGGAGATGCTGCTCGGCGAATCTGAGTGGATGCTGCCCCCGTATACGTAAACTTCCTCTCATAGGTTAACTCGTTGTAATCTGTTCGAAATTTCTAACTCGTGATACTTACTTAGTTCTCACCAAACATATAACGGTTTAGCGCATACATACATATTATGAAATGTATACTCACACAAATAATATGAAATATTCTACAGTTATACTTCTCGAAGTTATACTTGTATCCCTTAACGTAAGTCTGACAGATCTATTTTGTAAGCATCAACTTCGAGAGTGTAAATAGATAGCAGAATCTTTACAAGATCTTGAAACTAAATTTAAGTGAGCTTTCCAGTAACATTTAAATTTGCAAAGTTAGTATATAAAAAGAGATACACACTTATAATATATATATATATATATATAAGATACTAAAAATAATAAAACATTTCTTGATATTTGACTGTTAAAGGATCGATCCAAAATTATCGTTGAAATTATCTTTTTTGAAATTATATATAAATATGCTTTTATTAAAAATTAATATAACTCAAAAATTATACGACAAATTGCGTAAGGCAGGTTTACGCCCTGTTATTATCGAAACGCGTTTTTAATCAACGTATATATAACCTGTCGCGCTATCATCAGCCATGAGTGTATGACCGCAATATTGATAAAATAATCCCGCGACAAGATATTCGCTGACATTGACATTATAGCGAGAGGAAAATAATATTTATTTAAATTTATAGCAGATTTTCCATTTTACGAGATTATTATTTGATGTACATTTTACTAATATTCTATTAACGCATGTATGTTCATATAATGTTCTCTTTTTCGAGAGATAAAAGCAAAAAATTTGAGAGTTAAAACGTGCTTTTACTGCATCGCCCGATTTAACCAGAATATTTCTGTTTTTACACTAATTAATTTCACGCCAGTAAAATGTAATATCACATTCTACGGCAGATTGTATGAGGATTTACACGCACAATAGAGTTAATTCTCAATTTTGTCGAAATTATATTGCTGTACTCGTCTGTAGTCTTTATATACATTTCGTTTTTCAAAAATTTTAAAATCATTTTTGCTCATTGAGCGAAAAATATGAAAAGTAAAATTATAAATAAGAATTATAAAATATTCTCTGTAATATTCGTCATAATGCAATATTATTTATGCCTTCAAGACGTACGTAATAATGATCGACATATATTTTCACTTTTCAACTTTTATTCTGCGATGAAACGTGGTGTTAGCCGTGCAACATAACATTTATGTTTTTATTTTGCTCGCACATTCTCGACACTGACTCATTAGCAACATTACAATGCTCGTAATAAATGCAATGTTACCCGAATAAAATGTTTGCTTCACTAAAGATGAGTAAACCTGTTTTTTTTTTTTTTACTGCGTTAGATCAAACAATGATAAAATTCTTATAATGTGAACAAATAATATAGAATTAATGCTGTTTATGTGTGAATAGAATAAATTTATTTTTCCATTTTTACCCGAAAAATATTTATACTTTATGATATTAATTATTAACTACTTTTTTAAGTGGAATAAATATAATCTATTTAAATTATATCAATAACTATTATAATCTATATATTCAAATATATTAATAATTTAATTAATAATTAATTGAATTAACAACTATGTATTTAAAATTGCATTCAAACCATGGATTAAAATAAAAAATAAAATTAATTTACAATGACCAGTGAAAATTTAAATCAACAATAAAAATTCGATTTAATAATAACGTAAACATCTACGTTGAACTTTAATAACAAACAACAGATCGGGATTTGTATGTAAGCAGAGTTATAATTTTTATAAAAATTGTAAGTGATTCTAAATATTATATTAAGATTTTCAATTCTTTAATTATAATCTTCAAAATATGTTGTTAAAATACAATGATTACAAAACGTTCCGAAAAATCCGCAAAAGTCTGGTACTTTTAAAGATCTTTAAAAGATATATGAGTTAAAAAATTTTTAAATTTATGTATATTTTAATATCCGATTTTTCTCATTCAAGCGATGTACAAATTATTGAGAAAGAATTATTTTGCGGTATATCACTGCGAACTCCAGATTTGCTAGACTTGAGGATTATTTATTGAAAGAAAGAACGGAAGTATCGAAGAATATCCATTTGTGAAGTTAGTATTACGAGCGGTCGATCTTTACGGACGATTTGTTTTTTAGAAGATGGGTTTTCTTTCCTGTTTATTAACAACAAATAATTATGTAAATAAAAAAATAACAAAAGTAATAAAAATAAATATTATGTAAATATAAATATTATTATATATTATAATAAATAAAAATAAATATGTATTATAAGAAAAATAAAGTGGTAAAATAATAAATAGGAAGAAAACAATCTCTCACTATTAACAATTTGAAGTTTGTAGACAATTATTTTCAATAATCAAATTTTATCATCAACACTCGTCCAAGCATTTTAGTTTGCAAGATTAATGTTATTGTCGCTCTCAGTTTTGCTCACACAAAAGATAAGTCTTTTTGGATGTTTATTTTGCTATTTGTTGGCATTATGACAACTTATTTCACGACGTTATTTCGCGCATATTTCGGATCGATGCCTAATTATGCTACCGGTAGCTATCGATTAAGAAGCAACGAAATCGATAAATTATGCAAAATGCAAATGTCACTTATTTCAGGCAATACTTCTATTCAAGAAAAGCTGTGCGCAATCTTTAAGGTTTGTGTAGGTTCCTTAAGCGTCAAGCAAAAAGGAAGAAAAAAAATATGTATGATGTAATTTTTCGTCTTTCGAGTGAGAAATAATGTATATCCAATGGATAAACAAGTGTAAAAGTAAGGAAAAGCTCTTGTTTTTTCTCCCTGTCTAGTTTTTGTGAGTAAACCGGCTCGAGACGATAGAGCGGATAGAAGAAGAATAAGAATAAAAGAAACAGAAAGAAACGGAAATGTTGCACAAGGATTCGCTGGTGAAAAAATATTAATCTCCGCACACAGATGAAAAGTATCGCTCGTCGTAGTACTTTTATTCTTATGCCGTTACGCAGACAGTTTTAAATATCGAGCAGTCGCGATCGAAAATTGGCGAGCTTTCCGGCGGCGATATTTTTCTCTCTACGCGGGATAACGGAAGGAACGGATAATATATTGCGACGACTCCTATCGATTTTTGCGCTTGCACATAGCGATCGTTGTAAGGGACTTGGGGGCTGCAGCCGTGTTCCCGAGGGGGTATCCTCTATCGCTGCTATTCTCTTGCCACGATAAAGAACCGATTAGAATTACTACACAAACACTCACGAAGAATCGCTTCGAATTTTGTGTACACGTTTGTTTCTAGAATGGTGGCGGTCCATTGCAAAATGGCCATCTGATAGGAATTGTGTCTCTTGGGGCCTTCGATTGTGCAAAATTTGTTCATTCCAAAGTATGTTGCGGCATTTCACAATTGGATACTAAAAAAAGTTAGTTTTGCTTCTCTAATTCTTTTTCAGTTTTCAAAAAATACAAATGTTTGTATTAATTTTTGCAAACTATCAATATTTTTTATAAGAGAAGATGATATAAAATGCATTATGTATAAAAGTTTATACCAAATATTTACATATTGTTTCTATCTTGTTGAGAAGCCGATTGTGCGGAATAGCCAGTTGTCTAAGACTTTTTTAGCGATTAAAACATTAATAAATCCACACATACATTTATTCATTTATTTACTGTTCCACAGACAATCATTACACACTCACGCACACATGGGTGCTATCTTTTTTTAATTATATTTAATAAAGAAGCGTAATGTATGTGCATTAAAACTGTACACTTATATAATTATTACCAGGCAATCAATTTTATCCATCGTTTTTATCTTGATAAACATCGTGCAAAAAATATAAATTATAAGTAGTCATTATTCTTTGAATAAAGCTGCTAAAAAGATTTTAACCGCTGATTAATTCTGTACAATCAGATTCTCAACGAGATGGAAAAGAGAAGAGTAAATTTGTATAAATTTTTATAAACCTTTTCTTTCATTAATTGGCGTGCGCAAAATATCGACGGTAATTTAACGACCAATCGCGACGGCGTGTCGGAAGTTTCATTTTCGAAACATGACAATTAAGCCATATTTGAAATCGGTAGTACAGAACATTCACCGCTAACGTTTAAATTAAATGGCATGCTCGAGGTACTGTATTCATGGACTTTATCAAGGGGTACGGTTGCACGCGGTAGGTCGAAATAATTGATTGCTAGTTCGTTGCTGCTACGTTAAATCGTTATAAATATGCATTAGATATTGACGAAACCGCATAATATTTGAATTCAAGTAATTATTTACTTGCACTCAAGCGGCTATTTTCTTATCTTTCAGAGAGACAGATACGTACATATACATATATGTATATACAATGTATATCTCATTTTATGTAATACTTCAATATTATATAACTCTTTATTTTAATTAAACTCGTAACTATTATAATGAGGTAAAATTTAACTGGAGATATTTGGTTATCGAAAATTAAACGTCGAAGGTGTTGTAAAGTCAATCTGGTATAATTATGCTAATTTGCAAAATTTTATATATTTATTAAGATATATAGACATTATAATTTTTTATGTAGACATAAACTGTATATAATTAATTGGGATTAAAGTGTAATGATTTTACACGTCTTACTTATAATTGATGCCGGAGTTTACAAAGATCCAAGATAAGTAGCTGTTGATACGAGTGTAGACTCCTGGATGTATCTTGGTTTCACATCCTAATCCGTAGGATAGAATACCAATCAGCGTTTGTTGCGACACTAGAGGCGCACCTAGATCACCCTGTAAACAATAATATCACGATGGTTTTGATATCGCTAGACGCTTCAATCATTTTAATTGCTTGATATCAAGATATTCAACGACCGACGCAATATATACAAGCTCAAGATACATCAAATATTGATCCTCTGTCCACTTACGTTAAAATCTTGTTTATTTGTGAAAATATATCGCATTTATTAAACAGCTGTCAGAACTTTTTCATTTGATAATTTTCAGATGCATTAGAAAATTTCAGAAGTCATCTATAAAATTCTAGAAAATTTATGCAAACTCTCGGTAATATCACACTACGTATAAATTGATTGTAAATAAAACGGTAAATACGATTCGTGTATTACGGCGAAACACTGTATCTACACACAAAAGTGCTCTCTCGTTCTATAGTCTTCGAACATAGCCGCGTTTGCGAAATAACGGAAATTTTTCTAGCGCGCGTATACGAGTCTCTTCACATTTTGCTCGCGGTACATCGGCGGCGCGTGGAAATTGCGTTCTCGAGTCAAGTGCCGCATTGTTCACCGATCTGGTGCATCCGACACCTGAACCAGCCGCGCGCATACTTGCGGAAAGACTATTGACTCCATCGACGTAATTGTACACTCGCGGCCGTGTACAATTGGAATTCGACCACCATCGGACTGCTCTTAATTTACGCGCCTCGCATTTTCCACCGACCGTTTCCGCTTCCTGCGCGAGATCATTATATGAACGCGAGCTAGGTATATGCGTGAGTGAGAATGACTATTTAACACAAATCGCACAGATAAATTCTGTAATTGTTCATTATCTCTTTTTCCCGTGGTATCTTCCGTTGTTAAAAAGAACACGACCCGTTGCGCCTGACACCCTAGAACGCGTACCCGGCACGTAGATGATGCATATACCGTGCACGCGTGCCAAGTGTCGCGAGTTGCGTCGCGTCAACCTCATCTTATGTTCATCTTACCTGACACCTTTCCGACGGTCGGGTCGCGTTAACGGCGCACAGCATCTCCTCGGACAGGGGCTTATAGCTCGGCAGCCGCTCTTTGCACGTACGTTGATTTATGATCGCCACCACGGCCGTTGTGAGCTCAGTCTTGGCCGGCTTCTGCAAATTTGGCACAGCTCGCACGTTTTTACGACACGTTTCTCGTTATTGTAACTTGAGTTTCTCCCGGGACAAATCGGGGTCTACGAACGCGCGCGAACGTTTTGCGTTCGTGTTTCATAACGATTTACTTTGCTACACCGACGTGACTTTGAATAACTGTCAGCTAAAATTGCGTAGATAGTTTGCATATCCGCGTGCGTGCTGTCAAAATCTCATTTTCTTTGCACGCACGAGGCTTTCGAAGAAACGAAAGATTCAAAGTTTCACCGCGGAACAATCGGCGAATTATACATTCTATAGATTGCGTGATACTTGAACACTTGGTTAAATGGCACTTTTTTCACGTACGGATGTTTACGAGTTGAGTACGCTTGGAAATAAATTAAAGTTACGCGTATATAAAGTTATTCGAAATTTACCACTTTCCAGCCAGTCACGACACAGGATGTTCCATTCTGGATTTGTTCATTTTCCTTCTCCGGGAGCGCGATAGGAAGCAACTTTTCTCCAAACTCTGCGGGATTCTTTAGCTACAAGATTGATAAATGCGACAAGTTTATCACGATAAACATATGTGCTGAATGTTTGCTTAGTGATTGAAAAAACATACCTTTAACAATGCTATGTCGTTGAAGTACTCGTACTTATCGAATTTTTCGTGAATTGCAACATTGCTTATTTCTAAGACATTGCCACAAGAGTTGCAATTTACGTAGGAGGAACGAACGCGTACGGATATTATCGATAATTCTTTACTGTAAGATCCAAAAATACATAAAAATGTGTTGGACTCGTAGAATCTTATACTTGAGATTAATTACAAAAATACATAATAAAACAAAAAGAAATAATTATAATTAAGAAAAGGTCGGCGCGTTCTTTAGGAGAAAAAGCAAACTCAATGAAATCAAAGTCTTCTGTCTGAAAGAGACACCTGGTACATTATTATATATTTTTCACAGTAGAGCACGTACTTGAAAACGCAGGATGCCGCAGTCATAATCCACGATTCGTGTATGAATGCGCCGCTGCATACGTGACGTCCGGCAATTTGGATCGATACCTATCGGTATTGAAATAACGAATTCTATCTGAAATCCGATTTATTCGAAAATAATAGCGGCTTACAGTCACTGCGCTGTACTGACTACCGATTAAAACCACATATGAATGGCGTATAGTTTTATTTGTCAGTGGAACGCACGATACTGAGAGCCGTTGCGTATAAAAAAAAGAAATGAAATTTCTCTCACGTGGTATGGATAATCCTCGATGTCCACATATTGATGGCTTTTGGTATTAACGGCTATAATTATACTTTATATAGTAAAAACAATTTAATCAAAGAAGTGCGAATACTTGTAAAAATGTTGAACTCACTATATGCCAGAAGGCTGCAGAAGAATAGAATGATTTTCTTGGACATTTCTTTTGTGCTGATCGATCACGACTAATGCTTCTAATGTAAAAAGATTTTGTCCACGCAAAATTTGATCTGAAGATAAACGTTTACTATCGCGTTATCTACAATATATCTAAAACAATTATAAAGTGTTATCGTAGGAATGTGAAGAATTATCGCGTGATTAATTTAAAGTTATATATTAAAAGTACAATTCCATTACGAGATAAATGTTTGTGTATCTATATGGGATATAAAACGTATAATATATAAATGATACCTTATCAATTGGTTGATAATGGTAAAATCGTGTTAAGATCATGATAATTAATTGAATTTCTGTGGTATAAAGAGCAAGATTATGTAAGATATTCTTCATACTTTTTAATCAGCACTAGCTTTTCATCTTTATGATTGTACAATTTAAAAGTCGGAGCTTATTGTTGGATTATATATGATATTTATAACATTGATCACGTCATTCATTAATAATAATTTATTTGTATATTCATTATTGCAATTTTAATTGATATACTTTCCAATAAATGTTATTGTAACGATATGCTATTGCTTATAAATTGTTCATAACCAAAGCTATTTAAACTTGTTTGCATTTGTCTTTAGATAATATTGCAAAATGTACATTGTTTGCAGAATATAATTTCTGCCTTAATGAAAAAAAAATGCATTTTCAAGACGTGCGCAATTGTCAGAGATCAAACCCCACTAATCCATTTTATCCACCATAGAAGACCCGCGACGTTGGTGTAAACACCAGGATAAAGCGGCTGGGCGCATTTATATCCCCAGGATACGATTCCGTAGAGGGTGCCATTGGCTGCGAGCGGTCCACCCGAATCACCTTGACATGAATCTTTTCCACCCTCCATGTAACCCGCGCAGATCATTCTGTCGGTGATGCTGCGGACGTATTTGTATCTGTTTCGACACGTTTTTCTGTCGACGATCGGAAGCGACACTTTTCTCAACACGGGTGACGACTTTCCACCTGGCTAAAATAAAAAATCATAACTTCCACTATTTCAATTCATTGAATTTAATATGCCTGCGACTCTAATTAGGGCCGTTAATAAGCCATATTACGATTATAAATATAATCGTATATTATTACATATATATATCATATGACATATACAAAAATTATCTTCCTCTACAAATCGATTACTAATAAAGGCTATGATGCGAAAAATGCATTTTTACTAACAATAAGACAGAAATCCGCGGCTAAATATAATTTAATATTACCGTTTCGCATATGTGCGTAATATAATATTTCATATACATTCGCAACACGATTTAATATCATCGCGAATATCGATTTTCTCTGCGGTCGCGTATTGCAACATCGAATGCACCAATCGAATGCAGCGGTTCCGATTTCCGACACCAGATACACATGAGATAACATGAAATTTTCGCGATTGCTCTCGTGAAATCTTTGAATCGCGCCCGAACGATCGGGAAAATTCGCTGTTACTTAGCACACCATCTGTTTTCCGCAACGTTCAGATAATGAGTCTATTCTCTGTGAACTCACCTGCACCGCACCCCATCCGGTAACGTTCACCATAACACCATTCGCGAGTTCGTTTTCCGCAAGCTTCACTGGCTGCAACCTATCGTTAAATCTGATTTCGCCGTCGACCTGAAATGAAATTTCCAGAGCGTGCGAGAGCTACCGATGTTGTTATTGTCAGCTGGCGCAGGCTGTTAGTAAGCAAAGAGAAAAAAAGCACACAGAGAGAAAGAGAAGGGGAGAGTTAATATTACGTACTTCGAGAAGAGCAATATCGTAATCGATCGTCAAGTCATTGTAAGCCGGATGTCGAATGATCCTTTTAACTTGATAATAGACACCCTTGTACTTGTCATTATTTCCTGCATTCAGTCTGTAACGGTTTGCCGATAAACTGCAACGAAACGAAATACGCGTCAATATATGAAAATACTGTGACAATAACTACATACTATATGCGAACCACGCTATGACAATATCGACAAAACGTTTACTGGTAAATGCGCGATCGCATTCGTAATAGCGAGGATGATCGCGCAAACGTGCCTCCAATTTTCCAACTTGCACTGTGACAATATTCATCGGAATAAGCTCAATATGGTATTTAATTTGTTTGCAAATAATCAAAAATTCTGTTCAATTTGCTGTTTAAAATAAAATTAAATGAGAAAATTAATTTAAAATTGTCTTCTATATTTGATTATTTGGTTATTAGATTTCAAACCAGGTCTTTTATTTTAAAACATTTATTTATTATTAAAGTTCGATAGATTATAAGTAAGACGTATTTATACTGATAACGGGTTTCGAGAAAGCTAAATACAGTCCTGATAAATACGATGGCATCATATTTGACACTTGATAAGAAGTATTAAATTATAATTAAGAGACTTTTTCAAAGATAAGGCCAGAGGTCATTATCCCAAACGCGGGTTTTATAAAGATTTAAATTTGTCTCTCGGGATGAGATAATGCGCGCGACATACATAAAAAGAAATACGTATATACCTGACACAATGAGCCGCAGTGACAGCCCATTTATTACTGATGATGGCAGCCCCGCAAGTATGCTGTGTACCTCGCTGGAGGCTCAATTGATAAGGATGCTGACTTATGTCAACTATCGTACCTCCTACGATCCGAGGGTCAAGAAAAAAAGCCGGTCGCAAGAAGGATGCTGTAATATTAAATTTGACGAGAGAATTTATTTTCTGGCTATTTCAGCAAAAAAGTTTGCCCCAAAATGCGGCGAATACATAAATCACGCAAGGGTTTCATCGCTTTTATTACACGTAGCGTTTTGTAGCCTTTGAATTTTTGTTTTTTAAAATAGAACTCCTCGAGCGTAATAGACAATATGGCTAAGTAAATTCTACCGTATTGATTTGATTTCACGCGCCATTATTAATTGTAAAGCTCGGTATCAAATTAATTGTGTTACATTAATTATATTATGTATATTCATATATTGAATATTCACATTTGCAAATATAAAAATATAAACTTGCACGAAAAGATACATTATACGTGTAACAAATATAAAAATTATCGATTTCTTCCACTCACCGAAACCTCCAATGAGAAAGAGGTAGGAAGCGAAACTTCGCAACATCTTACAAGTATACAGACTAATGTCGTGTACACGCACTGGCTTTTATATTGGAGACAGGTTTCTCATCTGGTGAAAAACTCTTATCTCGTGACAACGCAACCCATTTTCTTCGAATATCGCATAGTGTAACGCAATTGTTATAAAGAAATGTCATATAGGAAATAAACGATAACGAACTGTAAATAAACCGCAATAAAACCAGACGTAGAAATATTCGTATTGGCTATTTTAGACTATAGACGACTTTTTCAGAATATAGATTTTCTATTTTATTTTGTTTTATTTTATTACGCGTAGACAATTTTATACGTTTTTTTTTACATTTTAATTATATTATATCAAAAATAAAACAAAAAGCTTGATCAATTTTTCATTATTTTCGAATATCATTTCTTTTTTAAACGTCATTTAAGTATATCGGTCGTATCTTTATCGGTTAGATTATTTTATCGGTTTTTTCTCGATTGAAATTATATTATAATACGTGATTTTTCAAAAATTCGAGTGCAATGTGTGACAGACGGCATTTAAATAATCATATAAGTGATTGGTTGTAGGTTTGTTTACACAAATGTGATCCGATCGAGCTCCGATAAGTCTTTATCTTGTAAAAATCATGCTGTACATCAAAAAGTTTCACAACTTGTTGTTGAAATGAAATGTAGGCCATAAAAGTAACGGATAAAAATCATTATACTCATCTCGATAAGATATTTGCTTTATATACCCATCGTTTTTATTAGTTCCTAAATGATACACTTTATGTGAAGTATGTTCACATATTTTTAATATTTATTTTTGATAAATATGTACAGATATTTACTATAATATATATTTTTAATACTTACTTCTATTATATATTTGAGAATATTTCTCCTAATATTAATTAAAAATTAAAAACACATAAATGTTTCTTTAAAAAATATCATTTTAATTTTATAATTTTCATAATCGAAATTCTGCGCATATTATTGGTTTACAACTAATTAATCGCTGGAAATTCGCAATTTCAATTAAAGCTCGCCCTCCTATACATATATCTTTTATATCTATTTCAACAGACATTTGGAATTCGTACGCATGAACTGTGGTGGTTTTCAATACATCGATTAATGAAATTCTAATAATTCCATAGGTCCATTGAACTGGAAATGAATCATTTTCGTATCCATCTATCTTGCGCTCGACAGACAATTTTGATCCATGGATTATTAATTAATCGTCTTATATGTATGGTTTACTTATTGAAATAGTATGAATTCTGATATTAATACGATATCGACAAACCCGGTTTTATCGACGATTCCTAAATGCAAATATGTAACAGAACTAATAAAATTGAAGCTCCAATTGTCGAGTAGGAATGATTTTGTTCGAAAACATATTCAATCCTTTTTAAAGATTTATACATATCTTGCGCGTGCCTTAAAAATGTATTACTTAGCTTAAGGCACAGAATTATATTCACACTTTCACACAGTTTCTTCGAAAACTCGCTGACAATTAAAATTTCCGGATTTTCCGTCGTACCCAGCCAATATTGCCTCGAAATATAGCAGATGTCTGCTTATACGGGATATTTCGAGGATTGTTACGAGGGGTAAAAGAGTGCCATACCAGACTGCACACTTGCCGACATCGGCAACGACTGCTGTCTGGCGATTAACATATAAATCAAAGTTCCAACGCGGCAGGCCACCTCCTCCTCTTCCTTCTCTCGCTCGAATTCACCCCTGGATTCCCCTGTTATCCGCGCCGAATGCGTGTGCGCCATCTTGTGTGCTATTCTCTCTCTTTCATCATTTCTTTATCTCTATTTTTCTATCATTTTCTTGAAGACGCACTAAAATCTTCGGATGGTGAGAAGCTGGCAGTTATCGAAAGAATATCTTCATCTCACAATGACGAGCAACAAATATAATCTGCGCTATATGGTTTGTCAAAAGCTCTTCTTCCGATCAATCCTCTCGTAAATTATAGTCCAAAATAAATGAGTAAATGACGAGACCAGTGTGTAAATGGGAGAATATTTTGCATGTAGAAAATCTGAAATGTCAGCATATAAATTACATTATCAGTAGTTTTCGTTAAATACATTTACGCATTGGCCGCTGATCGATAGAGGAGTACTCGGTTCGGGCTGCAATTAAACGAGAATTTGGTCTAGTTAATACCGGATACGGATTTGAATAGCAATTGGATGGATTGCCCATTTAGGGCGATTTGATCTTTAACTTTTAAATTCTCGTATACGTTCCAAAGAGATGCAAACATATCGGTTAAATGTATTCCCAAGTACTGCGAACTGATTCTAATCAGAAGAGCAGACTATCAGCGTAATTTGAACGGAAAGGAACTAAAGTCCTTTGCCGATATATATATATATCTTCACAATTAATTGTTGATCGCCAGTGATAAAATTGTAACAAATAATAAGATGCAATTTAATTCGACCAAAAACTGGCTATTTATTTATTGAAAATAAGTACACACTACGTTTCGACCCACATTGTGGTCCTTTTCAAGTGTGTTGTTCTTATTCAGCAATTACATTAATTAAAAATAGAAACGTCAGTAGCTAACAGATTGTCGATATGACAGGACAACTTTCATGTTTCTATTTTTAATTAATGTAATTGCTGAATAAGAACAACACTTGAAAAGAACCACAATGTAGGTCGAAACGTAGTGTGTACTTATTTTATATGAATAGCCAGTTTTTGGTCGAATTAAATTGCATCTTATATATATATATATATATCTCCGAAGCCATGATAGGTAGTCGAGGTGGAACGAGTTCTGGGTGTCGTAAGTCTGCCACGATGTAGGAGTCTAACGAGTCCCATCCTGAGAGAATTCTCGGACACACTCCGTGGACATCCGTACCGTAACGGGGTGTACTTTCTCCTTCGACTACCCGCGATATTCTTTCCCTGTTCCTTCGCCCATAAGCGTCGCGTCTCTCCGTCCAAAGCGATTACAGCACACTGGGGACAAGGACGTTGCAACGACGTATGCAATTTCCACACTTTCGCCGGTCGCAATTTATCAGCGGCGAAAGTCGACCGCAAATGTACGCGAGAAGAGATCGAGAAACGAGGATGTATCCCATCGAGGACATGCATCTTGCTGTTTCTCCACGTTGAAATATCGTAGATGCACGAGAACTGGTCGAAGATATTTTTTCGCGAAATGCAATCCTTGTGTGCGTTCGTAAAAGTGCAGCCTGATAGAGATAATATTTTGAAGTATATCCAAAGAGGATCTCTCTCGGAATGAGATATAAACGTTCGGAGACAGGTTTTCGGATGGTTTCGCGACGCGATTGGAAATTTGGTAAGTTATAAGTTTCTCGGTGCTTGATTCGAGATCGTTGCGAGACTTTTATCGCAAATAGGATGACGCAACGCTTCGCGACGCATCTGTACCACGTCGACGTGAGAAGCAAGATTGGGCGCGTGGCAATTAACAATTAGCGATTTTGATAACGAGCTGCAGCATAATTCGAATTAGCGTTAATCGAGTAATGGCGCGCTACGTCGAAATGTATTTTCCTATGTGCCTATACGTATTCATTCCCTTCCCCAGCTGCCTAGTAGCTTTAAAGCCGCATCTGTACCTATGTCAGCCACATAATTGGCTTTCGCGATCGTGCCGAAGTACTTGAAGGCGTGAGGATTACCGGGAACCTGATTGCGCGAGAGCTTTGTGCGGCAATTTGGATTTTCCATCGTTCCCCGTCCTTCGTTTTCCTCTTCGCTTTTACGGAGCTTGCGCGGAGTCTTGCTCTACAAGTATATAGATGGAAACGCATTCGAAAGAGAGACGGTAGTCGAAAACATCTCTCTCGATGGGATATGTCGAGAGTATAAATTTCCATCGTAGTTTATGATCTATGATCCAAGATGAGCGCTTGAAAAAAAAAAGATCGTACCGTTTTCTATGTCACTTATAAATTACTCGATATCATTTCACGAGGCACAATTATGCCGATCATATGGACATAAAAATATAGCGATGCGATAAACTATCATATTTTATACGTCAAGTTTTGCGATCGTACATTTTAAAACGCTTTAAACAGAAAAATCACCCAGAGGGAGAATGCATGAACAGAGAGGCAAAATACATAATAATGAATAATTATTCAATTTTATATATTACAGATATAATTTTATCTGATTGCGAGCTATATATAAACAATGAGAGAGAGAGAGAAAGAACCGATATTATTACGTAAGTGTCACTTTGGTTGATTCATGCGTTTTCATTTATTATTCGCACAATACTCTCTCATTACCTTCACAAAGGATACTTTTCAATTGACCGCAAATTTCGTATAATGAATCGTCGGAGTGTCCACTGTAATTGGATTATTGTCGCAAAGCACCGTTCGATAAATCGAGATAGCGCGAACGATCGTTAGCGCGATCTCGCGCGGAGATACAGTTAGGACACGACTGTCTGGCGAATGGCCGATAAGGCGTAATAGAAAAGATTACTCTCGCAATGCGGCCGGACGACTCGGAAAGAGAGCCATCGCGGTTTGCCCGAAAGAGAGGGATATATGCATATAGGACGTCGTGAGGGGACACGGAGTTGTAATTATACCTGCATGCATCGTTTCTACGTGCATTATAAATGGCCGTGCATAATGAATGAACCGCCGGACGAACCCGCCGGATTATCCCTCCAAAAGAATGGTCCCGCTATCCTATCTAAATCATACCCGCCGGCGTCGTTTTGCACCACCGGCAATGTTCTCGAATCGGGGGTGGAAAAGGGAGAGGGGTCTGGAGGGGTAATTTCCGTGAACGAACGCGAGTAATGTGCGGCCGCGAGATTTTCCAGGGCATCAATATTTTTCGCGTTATCTGGGATTTTTTTGTGGAAAAATAATTTTTAGAAAAGGAAAATCATGCACTGAGAGAGAGAGAGAGAGAGAGATTTTTGAATCGCGGAGAATATTATATGAGACAATATATATTTAAATTTTATTCCTCTTTGGTTTAAAAATATAA